GCACACAAGAAAGTCATCTTCGATTTACAAACATTATAACCTCCAACACAATAGTGAAATGTCTGAACACTTTATTGAGCAATTTCACATCATCACGAAATGTAGCGGCAAATTTGATTGCCTCGTTATAGAAATGTTATACATTCGCATGCGTAAACCAACACTGAACGTGCAAACAGATTCCATCCGCGCCAAGGTGTTTGTTTAGGCCGTTTATTGTAATTTATGCTTATCTTGTACCTTTCCTTAGTTGCATGCTAGTTAACTAGACTCTTGATAATGGAGTCATGATGATTCCGAAACGTCAAGCAGCAATAAATCTTTCCTAATTACAGAATTATAGTCAATACCATGAAATCGCTTAGTTGGAAAAGAATTCCAAGCTGGTTTCTGTCTACTTTCCTAAGTCTGGACACGGCTTGGAATAAATTTAGATAGCATGGGGGAACGTTTCGATATTCGTGAAGACGCTTTCCACGCAATGGAAGTCAACTCCCTTCCAGCTGGTTGCGTGATAAAATCTTGTTTATCGCAGTCAAGACAATTAGAATATCATTATATGGGTAAAAAGTCAAGGTTAAAACGCTGTTGGGCGATTGTAAAAATACTGAATGAATCAACAACACAAAGGAAACGAATTATCTTGAAGAATTTTGTTTGTCGCGACTAATCAGCTGTGTCCACTCCCAGACTCTCTTTCGAGTACTTTACGCCTAGCTTAACCAAATTACTTGACCTGTGGACCTTCCAACATAACTGACGATAACATTGTCGGTCTACTCAATCAGATCGAAAAGACCCCACTGTGAAATCTGACTCAATGCAAATATTGAAGCAAACTTACACCCAGGGCTGTAACTGAACTAAGCAGTGTTTGATTAAAAAGTGAAAAACCTTTAATGTTTTCAATCGTAAGACTGATTCTCGTAAACTAACCGAGGAAGGGTGCAGCGTTGTTGACAATGCTCTTCATTTTTGTATTCAAGTTTAATTGCTGATGTATAACCGACATTTGTGAGGGTAAACAGTCAAAACTGCATTAAAACAATCGAAGATTAAAGTCATTTTGCTGAACAGGGTCGAAATTTCTGGTCCAGTCTTATTTCCCTCTGTAAAAATAAAACTTTCATATATCCAATGGTTGCAGTCATGGCTTTAGCTGTATAGCTCAGTTAGCTGTGTCCACTTGTTAAGTTATGGTCTTTCCAGTAGTTTGTTCATATTCATAAGTTTCTCTATATGCTTACATGGGAGAATTATCATTAAGCCACGATTTGGCATAATTCTCAACGGCTGTCTGCCATTGAACGTGACACAGTTAATCCTGCTCTTTTTGCAATTGCATAACTACTGTAAATATGTTTTCTAGCATTTTTGAACAACGATTTACTCAATTAAGAGAGAATGACGCTATATCTTCTTTGACGTAGCCAACCGTGGTAACTTCTTAGAAAGACTGCGGATTTTGTTCTCATTCATTCAAATTCATAATTTACCTCCAGACACCAAAGCTTTCTAAACCACCCCAGCCCACTTTTGGTTAACATTCCAGTTTTTCCGTCTTAGTGGTAGAATTTTTTTACCGGTGGAGTTACAAAGTGAAACACATTTAAATGAACTTTGGAAGAACGTTGTGCATTTTACATTAGTCACATGTGATGTTTTTTATCGAGAGTCTGATATTCCTATATTAACCAAGGTAGTGTGCAAAGCAACAGGCAATACTCTTTATTGATGTAGTCAAGCTTAATTAATAATGACTCGTGAAGATGAACAGTCAAAACTGCAGAGAGGGCAGATTAAAGTCACTTTGTGGAGCAAGGTCGAAATTAATTCAATCAAAAAACACACAAGTTGCTGTCTCATAACACCTGTCTGACTATGCGATTTTATCTCCAGTCTTGATCCTTCTAAAAGCGGGGTCTTAAAAGCAGCTCATTAGAATCGTGCTAAGTAGAACGA